AGTAGAAGACTTTCTGAGTAGCCAATATTTGTTTCCCCTCCTTTCCTTTCCCACAGTAAAGAGGTGACTGACATTAAAAAAAGGGGAAAAAACTATGACTAGTTAAAAAAATAGACTGGAGAAGTTTTATTCCATTGACATCTGTCCTGCTACATCTTTGCTTATAGCAGAGGAGAGCAATCTCAATGATGTAGATGTTGCCTTCTGGTTCCATCCCTTTTCTTAACAGACAAAAGATAGGGGAATTGCTGTTTTGTGAGAAACAGGGAAATTTTGAAATTTTCACTACACATTCAAAAATGTCCAAACATTTTTTGCTGTTGCTATTATTTCAGAAATTATATCTAAAATTTTCATTCTGATAAGCATTTCCTGATCCAAAACAACCACATTTCATGTCAAAGTATGCAACATATTTCAAATAAAAGTATCAAAATGTAACATTTTCCCTGTTTTAAAGCTGAAAAGGAAGGCTGATAGTGGCCAGGTTTTTTTGAGTATGCAATGGCACTACTCAGGACAAGGAAGATAGAGGCACACTACGTTCATAAAAACACAGAGAAGGTAAACGGTAAAAGAAAACAGAAAAGTTGAAGTGGTAAGAGTAAGGACAACTCTTTAGTAGTAGGGTAGGTAGAAATGGCAATCTGCCACAAGAAGGGCTTCTCTCTGGAGACAAGAAAACAGGTCCATGCTCCAGCTGGTAGCTGGAGGTGGAACTCAGAGATGTTCGGGCCACCACTAGTCCCCAAGCTCCTCTCCATCTCAGAGCTACAGTGACATCACGGCCTCAGCCCTAGGATGAGGCACCTTTCTTCTGGACAAGTCAGTGTTCTCCACACCACAGACATATGTCACAGCATATGTCATAGCTGAGACATTCACGGTACACAGAGCATCACCATGCAATGTCAGAAGGCTTTTAGCATCTGCCCATACAGACTAACATCATATCACTTCAGAGGGCTACAAGTGTCTGCCCTTCCTGTTCTTTAGGCCAACCTTTTATACTTTCACCTTACATGCATTGTACCTGTGTGCCTTCTGTTCCCTTTGGTGACTGGTCAGTGCAGCTCAGCACTCCATGGCTCATTGCTGTCAACGCTGTTCACCTGCTTCTCACAGCTGCAGCCCACTGGGGATGAGGCTGGCTGCAGCCACACTCCCAAATACCACAAACTGTGTGCCTACATACCTACAAAGGCCCAGCTTTACCCACAAAGTTTTATCTGTTAGTTCAGGTGGGCACTGCTCTTTCTCCTCCTGCGCTGCCACAGCAGGACTCAGGACTCCTACCCAGTCCCCTTCCCTGCCCCATGGCTCCCCATGTGTGATGCCAATGAACACCACCTCCATCACCAAGTCACCGCTCTCGCTCTACCAAAGTGAGTAGCTTTGTGCTTTCCAAAGTAAAAAGAGAACACATTTTCATTCATAACTTACTCCTTCCCAGGGGATGTGAGGAGCCTTATTTGCTCCAAAGAACCCCCGGGCTATGCCTGTATAAGCTCCAGCTCCAGATCAAGCTGGCAAGTCAGGAGATATAGAACAGACAATAGGCAGACCTTTGAGTCTACAAATTGAAGGTTGAATGATTGGCAAACAACCTCTCCTCATGAAAAATTATGCTACAGCAACACAATAGTAATGGGAGCCAAAAGTATGTCTATTCCTGATTTGTAGACCAGGTTTTAGTTATGCTATAATCCTCTCAGTATGCCTGCTTAGGATCCCACAATCACACAAGTCATGAACACTACCCACAAATCCTGCAGCTTCCATGCCGAGCAAGTGACACACCAGATGAAGAAGGATGGAAAATATACATGTGGAATTGTTCTGGGAACTTAAAGCACACATAACAGTAAACAAAGCAAATATGGTACAAAACCTGTTGCTATTTTCACAGCATTTGTGGAGCTAAGCTGCATAAATGCAGAAGGATGCATACTGCCTCACACCTTTCCTCAGATTCCAGCAAATTAAGCACAGCAGCACAAACAGCAGCAGGGAGAAGGAAACGCTCTGCAGAAGAGCTTCCCGTTTGCTGCTGCACTACAGGTACATATTTGGGTATGTGAGTGAGAGATGAGCAAGAAGTGTTAAAATTACTTTTCTTCACGGTTTCTTCTACAGCCTTGGCTGCTCATGGAGATTTGAACAGGGAGAGATCCCTTGGTGCCATCCTCCCTCCTCAGGTACAGCTAAAGCCAGTTTGAAAAGGTTGCTGTGGTTGTCCCCTGTCCACCTGGGGCAAGGCTTCACAAAGCCATTGCCACTTTGGTCTGAAATAACTAGAAGACTGTCTCTGCTCCCCACTGAGAAGGCAGTGCCACTGTCAGATACTGGAGCACTAGCTTAAGTGGCACTACAGACAAATTTTGGCTGGTGTCAGGAGAGATGGCTGAAAGCCAGCTGACAGGGAAGAACAGTATCAATCCCTGTGCTGGGGGAATCCTCTGAAAATGCTACTGAAGCAAACAGCAACTGCTAGTGGCACAGAGGCAAACAAAACATGAGTGATCCTGTTCTCATGGAGAAGAGAAAAAGGCAAACGGCTGAACTGAAGTAATCAACATGAACTTGAACCATGGCACAGGGCAAACATGTGGCATGCCGTATGGAAACTCAGAACAAAACAGAAAGCTTGGAACAAAATGAAATTAAAAATCTGCTTCTATTTCGAATTACTCCACTAAACGTCTAACTGAAAATTGTGTTGGAAGTTGATATGACTTTGTGACATGTTGTTCCTTGAAGGCTGCCATTTTCCATCAAAAAAAAGGTATGAAAAACATTTCAATCTGGTTACCTTCTATCCAGCAAGGCTAGAAAACATTAAGTTGTAAGCTAAAAAATAACATCACACCATTAGTCAGCACGAAATAGCTGTTCAGCCAGCATCTATCATAATGTTTTCAACAATTCATAGATACCAAATGCCTGGAAGAGAAGGCCAGTAATCACTCCAAGCATGGATTTTGAGCTTTAAATGCATTCGATGAATTAATTTTTTTTAAAGACAGGCCCTGTGCAGCCTCACTTTGCTTACTGTTTCTAGATATAATCTACCTTAGAAAAGGTGACCAAATGTCCATCTCCAAAACAATTGAGCCTGGGTGCTCTGTGTTCTGAGGGATCATCTGTTGAACAGCTTAACACTAAAACATCCCTGCAAAAGTACCTAAGTGTCAAATCTAAGTCTTAAAGAATGACTGCATTTAAAACAAAATCTTTCTGTGTAATTTCTAATAAGTATTTGAATGAAATCAGGCCAAGGAGAATCAGAAAGATTTAAAATGAAGAATCTAGAGCATCTCTCCTGTGAGGAAAGACTGAGAGATCTGAGAGTACTTACCTAGGAGAAAAGAGTAGGTTCAAAGAGGATTTCATCAGTGTATAGAAATACTTGACGGGAGGGTGCAAAGAGGACAGAGCCAGGCTCTTCTCAGTGGTGCTCTGTCACAGGACTAGCAATGGGCACACACAGAAACACATAAGAAAAAAACCTTCTACTTTGAGGATAGTCAAATACAGGAAGAGAGGTTGTGGAACTCCTATACTTGGAGATATTTAAAAAACATCTGAACACTGATCTGGACAATCAGCTCTAGGTGGCCCTGCTTAAGCAGGGCAGATGGATGAGATGGCCTCCACTGGTCTCTGTCAACCTCAACCATCCTGTGACTAATGGATGAATTATTACCAGTTATGCAAAACTATATAAGAACAAAAAAATCAAGCAGTAATGACAAAAAAACCCCACTAAAACCCAGAAAACAACAGCCCTTTTATATTCATTAGGGCAATATTGGATTGTATTTGTCAGTAATACACCTATTTGTCCTATAATACACCTAATGGCATAATGAGACTAGAGGGCTCACTCCACCAAGCTCAGCTACCAGGCCAAAAGACAGCCCAAAATGGTTACACATAAAACTCAAACACACCTGCAAAACTTGAGTTTTAAATCATATCCACACATTTTCAAACTCACCCTCTTACATCAATTAAGTTCAGAGAACTGATTTCCATTGGCAAACGCTATAGTGGTATCAGTGAATGACCAGAGTAGGAGCTGAAACAACCATTATCAGAGCAAAAGGCAGAGCACTGTCTATTCATGCTCTCTGTTCTCTAAGGAGTATTACAATCACAGAAACACCTCCTAAGTTATGTAGTTTATTTGCCTGCCAGCATGAGATTCTTCCCTACAATAATTTTTAACACTTGTTTTCACCAACTTAAGAGCAATGTGTCTAAAGAAAATGAGTTTACTATGAATGCACCCCCATAACCCTAGCTCTTTCACCTTGAGAATGTACATTGTAAACAACCTTTTTTCCCCCAGACACTTGTTGTTTTCTGCATATTTAAACAGATGTGTGGGCTTAGCAACTGCAAAACAAAGTCATTTACTTAAATAACTGTGTACAGATTAAAGTATTTCATTTTATATATAAACTTTCAAAATACTGTGACTCTTTTATATTATTTAACATACAGAGACAGAATCCTCATACATGGATTTCAAAAATAACTCACCTTTGTATTTAAGCAAAGAAAGAGGGATTTGCATTTGCAATGTATCTACATGAAGGTACATGTGTGCATGTACATATTTTGTATACATTTATCTAAATAAGTATTAGTCAAGGATAGAAAAAGTCCTAAGGAAAAAAATTACCATGTTTAATACATCCATTAGTGTGAGAAATTAAAGATAAACAGGAGAATCAGGAAAGTTCCAACAGGTCAGAAACATTGTGAAGCCACTTTGCTGCAGAATTTCCCTAGTGTTTCCAAACACACAGCATATACTTTATCTGAAGTCACTCAAAATACTGTCTTCAGAAAGCTGAATGACTTACTCAACAGCATTTATAAAATGAAGATTTAAAGAGGAATGCTATGTTTTGTTACTAGTGGGCCTTGCTGGGAAAAAAAAAAGTTATGTTTTTATTTTAGGCACACAAACTTTTCTTTCAAACTCTTACCTATTTGTTTCCTGTACTGGTCAACAGGAGTCCTTGATGCGGAGGCATCTTTTCTACCCATTGTTTTCAATCCAAAAATCACTGTCAGTATCAAAAAAAAAAAAAACAAAACAAAAAAAAACAAAAAAAAAAAAACAAACAAAAAAACCAAAACAAAAACCACAACATTATTCCTAAATAAATTACTAACAAAATCAATTGCTTATAACATCAGAAAAATGGTAACAAGCAACATTTACATGATTACACACAAAGACATAAGCCTTCCCAGAGTACAATGAGACACTGGAGTTAATCATCACTATTCTGAAGACTATTAGATACATTCTAAACATACCTTTTTCTCCATTGCATGAGTTATTAACATTACAGAATGCCTGTTAGTTTGAATGAAAATAAAGAAAAAAGAAAGGATTTAAACTGATTGCACTGTAATTCAGCATTTGGTACCACTGTAATTCAGCATTTGGGACCACCAATTATATTCCTATATAATTTATTTATTTAATAAACCAGAGAATGAATGTAGTATTGTGAGCTGTTTCCATTATTGAAAATACATTTACACCACACTTAGGAGTCGGAGGCAGGATTAGGCTGTGTGCATCCACAGGTGAAATTGCTCAGGAAAACCACCTGCAGACAAGCAGATACCTAAAATACAGCAACCCCACTCTCTCTTATTTTCCTGCCATGGGCTCTAGATATCTGTGAATGAATAGGAAATGGAGAACAAAAGCTGAAAGCTGGGGCTGTATGCATTTTTCACCTCTAAGGCATGGTATTGATAGTTTAAATTACCTTCATTGCATTTCAGTAACAAGCAGCCAGATTCTTGAATGGGATTCTCATGTTGCACAGCCATGTTGCACACATCCTCACAAGGAGGTGACACTAGGACTGCACAAGGAACTGCATAATCATCCATACAAAGATGTTCCTTCTGGTATACTGGCGTTTCCACACCATTCTTGTAACTGAACAAGCATAATCTGAACACTGCTCTAGTAAATTCCTGATGTATCTTTTACCATGCAAAACCTTATGGTTTTATATTCATCCCTCACAGAGCTGCCTCTCAAGTGGCAGATACTACAAACACACTCATTTCACCTCTTTTTCCCTGGTTATGAAATAACTGGCTGTTTCAGTAATGCTTATTGCTCAAAACACTGGGATCGAACCATTTTAGCTGGGCTGGAGACATTACTCACCACAGTGATGATAAGCCCCACCATCTGACTGCCTCTACAACACAAGAGTCCCAACATAAACACCCACACTCATGAGAGGCCTGATGTTTTCAAGAAGTGTCAGATTTACTGTTCAAGCACTGAAGATGCACAGCAGCCAACCCCTGCCTTTTCCCAACTGGCCCTGGTGAGAAGCATGCCAAGGGCAAACTTCAGCTGAATCATCCTGGGTAGCCACAAACCATGTGCAGATTGTGCACATTTGGCCATGGAGTTATCTGCAAGAGTTGTACTTTTCTGTTAGGCATAACCAGCTGTGCTACAGCAAGACAAGAGTCCCTGGTTGCTGCCAAGGCACACTTTCTGGGAAGTGCAACCCTGGAAGGCACCGAGATGCCAAATCACGGCCCAAAAAGCATGCCATGGCACTGCTGAACACTACTGCCAGCATCCCAAATTTATTTTCTCCATAGCCTCAAACATGATTTAAAATATAGCCACAGAAATGATGCCCACTAGTTATTTGTGCATTTTAACACCACAAAGTTTATTATTTTATTTTTATCTGTTCTTCTATTATGCTTCACAGGATTGGGTTGTATTTCATAACATTCACATCATAATAATTAGAATGGAAAAATAAAAGTACAATTTGAACTTTCAGTTAACTGAGGAGGTAACAGATACATTTTTACACTGCAAAACTAGATCTTGGCTTTTTTATGCCACTGCTAAGAGACTGTTTTGACTTGCCTTTTGCAATTTCCATAGTATACTAATGGTTTATAACAAAACATCAGCTGTGAAAGATGTTTGCAGTTTTAGCAATGCCAATACAACAGAAGAAGAAAACACAGGCAAAGATTATTTCCTGACTTAAAATAAGCCACAGAGATACTGGCGTTTGCCTGTGTGGCTCAGTGTCACCAACTCTGGCATCTAGAACCTCGAGTCCTCTTTGTTCTTCAAGGGGATGCAATCATCATCATTCATTCCCACTGCTTTGATGGTTACATAGCAAATGCCTGAGAAACCCATGGAGACATTGGCACACAGAGCCCAGTGTCTAATAAGACAGCTATTTGCATAGAAGATCAGCCACAATTTAGAATGTGTTGTGATAGATGTGGAAAGGGAATAACAGATCTATACTAGCTTGTTTGAAACTGAGATTGTTTTCACAATTTAATTCCTTGGGGACTATGGCTCATCACCTTCTCTTGTAAAGAATCCCACATTCTTGGGCAACTTGCCATGAGGTAGATTTAAACTAAAATATGGATTAATAAGAGGTAATATTTATAATTTATGAACCTTGCTGTAGGAGTGGTTTTCAATGCAACTTTCTAACCATTCTTTGATTTAAAAAAAGCCTGAAACCTTTGCTGAGTTACAAAAGTAATCTTCCCCATTTAAAATAGGAGTGGTCATCCTACAATAATTGGTCATCTTTACTGCAAAAGAAATTTACACTCAGGTCTCTGACCCTTTTGCTGCTTCTGACAGCAGCAAATGGAGGATCTTCTGGAGATTCCTCCTGTATTTCTTTGCCAAACCAAAGGGGAAGGCAGCGCATCATGCTGCATCATGCATCCCAAGCCTTCAAATCCCTAAAGTTTTAATGACCACACAACCATTTAAAAAACCATGTAAAGGAGCTTATCACTGCTTTTACTGAAAATACTTGACAAGTAATTTCAGATAATATGAAAGCAATGTGAGCTGTCCTCAACTTCCAAGCTTTTATAAAAGATGGTCTCAAGAAAACAAAGTGAGGCCCCAGTGATTTTTTGTTTACTTCTGCTTCAGAGATGCTACAAGATCAAAAGACATCTTTGTTTTTGTGGTACCCTTCACAATTTTTTTCACCCCCTTTGGCTTTCCCTCTAGTAATTCACCTTTGAAAATTACCCATTCTGAAAAACTGAAAACTCTTCTTTTACTCTTAAGCAGTGGCTGATAAATTGCTTGTTATAACCTCTAACTGTCAATAGCATTTGGTGAGATAAAAACCAGTCCTAAACTTCCACTCAAGGTCTGGCTACACTTTAAATCCCAATTCACTGTTCTTGATGCATACATAGCATTTTCTGCACCAGTTTAAAAAAATTGAAGAAATTACATTAATTAAATAGAAACTTACTATAAATGACTTTAGATATACTAATAAAAAATAAGAATAGGATCTATAGAGATTGCACTTTGTACATTATTGGTGCAATACAAATGATTAATAACAATGATAAGCCTTAAAATGTATATCAGTGCACACTCACAAGACATGCATATCTGCATGTGTACAAACTTTCCCAGCATGATATCTGACAGCATGTCTGCACTCTCCCACAAGGTTGCCTAAATATTAACAGTGGGAACATTAAAGAAATAATCAATGAAATTACTGGTTTTGTAGCTGAGATATAGTTAGTCAGCTGAGAGAAAAGAAATATAACTTCAGGACAGGAAAGAACCACTACAGAATGTAAAGCTACTGAACCAAGTCTTTGGCATCTGTATATATGCAGAAGTTCCTCATCTTTAATTGCAAATAGATATCCACCTTAAACATAATTCTTTTTTTATTTGTTTTGTTGGATGTAATGCAGGTTGATCATCTGAACTCATAAATTGATTCTTCTTAAACATGATTCAAAGATGCCATGAAAACTTACTGATATCATTGAAGGAACTGGTCTTCTCTGAGTTAACTCCATAGCTGATAGTTTAATAACTAATGGATAGTAAAATATTTGCAAGTTACAAGAAAGCAAAAATAGCCTTTTATCTACCTCAGGTAAAATTCAAGGAGCACATCAGATCATCTGGAAACATCAAGTTATCTCAAAGAACTGGTAGCACTACATTTAAAGTGGGAAGCCATCTGCACATAGGTATTTTGGAAATTGTTGCTGCTGGTTATTATAATTGGCTTTTTTGTTATTGTACTGCTGAAGTACAGTAACTAAGGTCTGTCTACACAGCAGTGGAAGCAGCCTAGAGCTGCTAAAATAATGTAGATTTATTATTTAACCATACTGTAGCCAAGAAAAAGAATTAAAAAATCTTTACTACTATTACTAGCCTTAAAAAACAAAACTTCGACAAACAAAATACATTCATGTTCTCTTGGTAAGCCTTACAGTAGTGCTCCATTCCTCTGGAAAGTCTCTCTCAAAGAAGAATGAGACTATTATTTCCAAGGAAAGAGTCCCCTGCCCATGCTGCTTCTTGCAGAATCTATCTCTGCTTTATCTGGGGATTTATTTATTCTTCTGTTAATAAAAGAAATGCAATACTTCTTTGCTTAATTTAACCTTGAAAGCAGCAAAGGTGATTTAAATTTAATTAAATTTAGGAAAATTAATCAAAACCACAGGATCCATAACTCCAGTCAGAACAGATATTAAAATAATTTCAACATTCTACACAAGGAGAAGAAACACTGTATCACATCCCAAGATTCAAACCATAAAGGAACTACAACTTTTACTCAGACATATATGAGGCTGTTTCATAGTTTCATGTAAACACTAGGAACAAAACACACATTGTTACTTCCAATTAGTACTCTCTGCACTACAGGGAAAGGAGATGCTCTGTTGTTTTTTAGCTATACAACACCTACAAACTGCATGAAATAAGCTCTGCATTTATTTAACAAAAGTAATAAACAGGTAATAGTTCATAGGAATTTTGAGCATATCCTCAGGAACATCTCCAAATCCTAAAGCAATATATTCTGAAAAACTAATTTAATCAACAACCCAGATTAGTCCCTAAATTTCAGGAACATAACTCAGACACACAAGCTACACAGGAGGTTATCTCCTCTCCCTTTGCAATGGGCAAAGAAAGAAATGCAATAGTTAAGAGCCCAAATCACCTCTG